GAAACCGCTAATTTTTAGTTTCAAATTACCATATTAAATAGCTCCTAAAATTTGTGTGTAGGTGAATCACTACTTTACTTTAGATTAAGATATAAGTTGTACCCAAATTCTTAATTTGAAAATAAGATAGAAAAGCTATCTGTATATTAATCTGGACAAAGGGAGTAGAAGACTTGGCTCCTATTTTTGTGGTTCGGTTTGATTTTCATAACATATATCTATATATATATATATATATATTTAAACATTTGATGAGTTACATAGCAGGGACATATCTGTTAGAGAGATTTAGGCTTAATTCGATAACGCTGAATTGTCCTTGTAGTTGTAGTTGTAGGTTTTTTGATTTTTTTATATCTTAAAAATATATAATATATATTTTATATATTTAATATTTATTTTAATTAATATTTTATATATTTTAAAATTAAAAAAAAACATAAAAATCAAAAGGTAAAATACCAAAAAGTGTTATTAAACAAAACCTTAAAACTTTTGGGTTAATTAGAACCAAAGTTTCGAAGTTTGGGTAAGTATGTATTAGTATAGAATAAATTAAAGTATGAAAAAGAGAGAACGGAATATAAAAGATTGTTACAGTAAAATATTATTGAATAATATGAAACGGTTACATAAGAAATCTTTATATAGAGCCTTTAAATAGAGGCCCTCTACGGGTAACTTACTAATAAAAAAAACTTTAGATCTACTCTAATGATATAAAATTTAAATTTTACTCCAATAATTATATGAATTATATCATATAATGTCTCTATAAATTAGTTTGGCTAAACTTTTATTAATTATTAGTTAAGGACACACTCATCTTTTGTTGTAGCAAGAAATATTTATTATTAATTAGAGGTGTTAGTATAAGGCATGTTGTCCTTTTGAAAATTTTTTTGGAAGATTTGTCTAAAAATTCACTTTTTGATAAAAAAAATTTATTTATATAAATCATGCATATCAATCTTTATATTGATTTAATATTTATAATCCTTTGATAATAAAAACTCTATTTACTAATATGTATTTAACGGTATTAAATTTTATATAATTAACAAATTTGTTAAGTCTAC